TCTTCCTGGTACAGGCTGAGGATGGCATGGTCTACCAGTCCCTTGGATAAGTTATTTCCATGCGTCTCTGGTTTTCTTCATTCCTCTTTGCTCTGGATGAGGAGAGACCCACCACAACACATATTTTTGGAGGATATCATTCAATCCTTAAGGAGAGCATTTGTGCCTTTGGCATCGTACAACCACATCTGTAACGATCGTGGCCCGAACCTTGTCTTTCCCACATTGCACAGTGAGGGTTATTGTTGTTGTTTTTCCTACCGCCATGTATGAGGGGTCTCAGTGCATGGTGGCAAGTTCCCCTCCTAGTTGCTTGTTACCTGAGGAGACACAAAGGACACCAGGTGAGGAGGCAGAATGGGCAGCTGGCGTGGCAGGGGACTTGGAAGTCCCTCAGGCCCCCTTCAGGTGGCTCTGGAACTTGCATGTGATTTGGGGATCCTCAAGCTCTGATGATAAAGGAATTGCTTGTAATTTCCTCAGTTGCTATTATTGTTGACTGTCATTGAGTCAATCCCAGGTCACAGGGACCCACAAGACAAAGGCTGGTTTGAACCACCAGCCTTCTGGTTAGCAGTCAAGTGCTCTACGCACTGCACCACGAGAGCGCCCCATATGAAGCCTCTTCTTGTTGTTATGTGCCGTCGAGTCGGACCCGATTCATAGCAACTCCTCCTTGGGTTGCCCAGGCAGTATCACTACGGAAGTAGATTGCTCCTTATTCGATGTCTAGGCTGTGTTTCTCGACTGCAACAGGTCGCCAGGACTTTCTGCTGTGGAGCTGGTGGGTTGGTTTGAACCACCAACCTTTTGGTTCGCAGCCCAGTGTTTAACCATAGTGTCACCAGAGGTCCTCAGAATGATGAGCAAAGCATGTTGACCTTGTGGCTTGGCTAACCCCACCATGGCCCTAATGTTGTGGAGACACTGTGGATTTCTGTGTAGTTCTGAGTGATTAAATATTCAAGCTTTGAATTCAATTGAATCACATTTTGACGTAGCATCCTGTAGTGCGAGGTACTGATGTACAATCAGATGACACCGGTGGGGAAGGGTCTGTCCAGGGCCCAGTGGGATCAAGGCAGCATTGTTGTTGTCTGGTATCCTGAAGTTGGTTTCAGCTCCTAGATACCCCACGGGACAGAGTAGAACTGGCCCAGGGTCTCCAAGGCTGCCGTCTTTACAGGAATGCATCACCACGTCCTCCTCCCAGAGAGGTGCTGGGTGGGTTAGAACCATCCACCTTTCGGTCAACAGTGGAGTGCTAAACCTTTGTGTCACTAGGGTGCCTGAATTTGCTCAGTAGTCCTAAGAGAAGACAAAGCCGTGCCACGTTAAATATTTGGACTCGACCCAATTTTACTGGCTGAAGACGTGAATCGCACGTTCGGTCATCTCCCATGAAAATTCAGAAAGTCTTCTAACGGGTCTTCTCCTTACTTATCCTCCATGATATGCAGCAAAAACCAATGATATCAGTGAAGAAGACTATCAGAAGTTTGTGAAACTGGCTTCAGAGAATGGACTTCCTGTAGAAAACATCGTGAAGTCCATTGAGACAGGTCAGCTCACTCTATTTTTCCTCTACTATGAAATTCACCTAATCTAAAAATGTAAAAAGACACTCTTATGGTTGTGAGTTCAAGTTTCCTATTCACAGCTCTCTCTCTCTCTCTCTCTCTCTCTCTTTAAGTTATTATTTTTTATTGTGACTTGGGTGAGAGTTACAGAGCAAATTCATTTTCCACACAGCAGCTCATACACATTTTGTATCTGGACATTGGCTGCAGTCCCCACAATGCAACAGCTCTCTTCCCGCTTCCTCCCTGTGGTTACCTTTTCCCTGTGTCCTTCTTTCCTGTGCGTGCCTGCCCACTGGGCTGTCTCCCTATGCAAACGCTGCCCTTCTGGTCTCCCAAGTTGATTGTTGTAAGGAGTGTACCGACCCGGTGTAAATGTTCACCCTACATGCCTGTCTGCTGTTTAACTGTTGTTGTTTGGCTCACCTGTCATAAAAGCTGTTATTATTTAAAGAATCTTTGTAAATATTGAGGAATGGCAATGAAGT